TGATTGAACAAAAACAGTGCATGAAGGGGCTTGTCTCAGGCCTATCTGCAGCTTGCTCGCATATCCTGCATTTATCTCCAGCGCCATTATCAGCAGCCTATCATCCCTATTATGACTGCATTGCGAGCATCGCCGCATCAGCATCGTTCGGCAATGACCGTTGGACGGATGTAATTTGGCCCAGAAGGTGCTGACCATTCACCCACCTCATTGAAAAACATGTGTGTTTCTGGGTCTGTGTTTTTGGGGCCTATCTTAGCACACATTAAACACTCAGTATCCGTGAGCATCCAGTCTGTCTCTGAAACTCCCCGGAGCTTGGGTCTGAGAGGCAATGCGCACACAAGACGCAAAGAAAGCCGAAGAGCTCCACTCAATTGTAACCCGGGTTTGTCTATCCCCCCCCCCGCCCTCAAATTGTGTGGAGCTCCTCTTGGAGAGGGTCCATCAATTTTCCTCAAAGGCAAACCTCAGCTGCCAGTCAGTGCTGTCCAGGCAGATAGCTGAGGGGTTCTATCATCTAAGAAAGAGGGAAAAGTGTTTTGCGAGGTGCCTGTTTCTGTTCGGGGTGCTGTTTGAGGTGCTGGTGATGGTGCGGGCGATTCATGACAGGGTGCTAGGGGGCATGTGCTGTGCTGGTGTAGGGCTGCTTTGGGGTGCTGTTTATAGTCAAAAGGGTGTCCGGTCCGGTGTCCTGTCTATTTCACACAAAAAGCGATTTCCGACCAAAGTTGACAAGCATATGAATTCCAGGAACTGCTTGTGATTGTCCGTGGTAGGGCGCCTGACCGTCAAGCTCTTTTGCCTTGTTCTGATCTTCTCATCTAATTTTGAGGGGGCAACGGCTGATTGTTTTCTTGGAGGGAGCTTGTCTTTGCGTCCGCCACCTGGTTGACTCTTGATGGCGTGTTCTGGTGGTTGCGTTTCTGCCGCCTTTCACAGTGCTCTTTGTCTTCCCCCTTTGGGTGGTTTGAGACATGCGGCGCAATAAACACTTAGGCAAATGAAGGTTAGCAGTGGAGAGCCGCAGACCGGAAATAGGTGCGACAGCCCGTTTGTGTTTTGTGTAGACCCCTCTAACACTAGGTTTTGACAAACTCATATCAATCTGAGGTCCCACTTACACACCAAACAAAATGGACATACAGTACAAGTAAGGTCCGGCAGAGCCGGGGGGCGGAAGTTTCAAAAATATAAAAACTATAGTTCTCTTTTTTCTTGACTCTTTTTCTCTTCTTCTTCCTTTTCATTGTTTCTTTTTTCTCCGTCATTCTTCCTTTCTTCCTTTCTTTCCTTCCTCCCTCCCTTCTTTCCTTCTATCTGTCTTTTCTTTCTTTCTTTCTGTCTTTCTTTCGTTTGCTTGTTTTTGTGCTGTTCTTTCTTTTGTCTCTTCTCTGTCTATCTATCTGTCTATCTATCTATCTATCTATCTATCTATCTATCTATCTTTCTCTACCTATCTATCTATCTATCTATCTATCTTTCTCTACCTATCTATCTACCTAACTACCTATCTATCTATCTCTCGTGTTATCTATCTATCTGCTTATTTCTCTATCTATCTCTCTATCTATCTTCTCTATCTATCTATCTATCTATCTCTCTATCTCTCTATCTCTCTATCTCTCTATCTCTCTATCTATATATCTACCTATCTCTCTATCTCTCTATCTATCCATCTCTGTATCTATCCCTCTATCTCTCTCTCTCTCTCTATCAGTGTATCTATGTATCTGTCTATTTATCTATGTAACTATCTGTTTATCTATCTGTCTATCAATCTATTTCTCTATCCATCTACTTATCTATCTATCTATCTATCTATCTATCTATCTCTCTATCACACTTTCTATCTATTCATCTATCTATCTCTCTATCTATGTATCTATCTTCTGTTTGTTTATCTATCTACTTATTTATCTCTCTATCTATCTCTCTAGCTCTCTTTCTTTCTATCTATCTATCTCTCTATCTCTCTCTTTCTATCTATCTATCTATCTATCTTTCTATATCTTTCTCTATCTCTTTCTGTCTATCTATCTAGATATCTATCTATCTCTCCAGCTATCTCCCGCGTATCTATCTATCTATCTATCTGTCTATTTATCTATCTATCTATCTATCTATCTATCTATCTATCTATCTGTCTCTCTATCTGTTTATCTTTCTATCTATCTATCTCTCTCTATCTGTCTATGTATCCCTCTATCTACCTAATCTATCTATCTCTATCTATCTATCTATCTATCTGTCTGTCTTTCTATCAATTTATCTCTCTCTCTCTCTCTATCTCTCTCTCTCTCTATCTATCTATCTATCTATCTATCTATCTATCTATCTATCTATCTATCTATCTATCTATCTATCTATCTATTAATCATCTGTCTATCTATCTATGTATCTATCTATCTATGTCTCTTTCTTTGTATTTATCTATCTCTTCATCTCTGTCTCTATCTCTATCTACCTATCTCTCTCTATCTATCTATCCATGTATATCTGCACTTGAAAGTTGCGATTTTCAAGCCCCGAAAGTTGACTTCGCGTACTACTTTCGTACTTAAAAGTGGACTTCACGTACTACTTTCGTACTTAAAAGTTGCGATTTTCAAGCCCCAGCTGCGAAAGTGACTTCGTGTACTACTTTCGTGCTTAAAAGTTGCGATTTGCCCCAGCTGCGAAAGTAGACTTTGCGTACTACTTTTGTACTTAAAAGTTGCGATTTGCAAGCCCCAGCTGCGAAAGTAGACTTCACGTACTACTTTCGTACTTAAAAGTTGCGATTCTGGAGCCCCAGCTGCGAAAGTTGACTTCGCGCACTACTTTCGTACTTAAAGTTGCGATTTTCGAGCCCCAGCTGCGAAAGTTGAGCGAAAGTTGACCTTTGCGAAAGTGCTGCACCTGCCACGATATCTATACTTGACCTTGCCAAAATGGTGCACCTGCCAGGAAATCTGTACTACTTGACCTTGCGAAAGTTCTGCGCCTGCTATGAAATCTATACTTGACCTTGCGAATGTTCTGCGCCTGCCACGCAACTCAATCCTTGTGAAACCTGCGCGCGGCCGTGCCAATGGTCGCATCTCCGAACCCGTTCCGAGACCGTTCCGAGACCGTTCCGGGACCGCCTCCGTACAGGCGTCGCGACCTGAGGTGGTTTGCGCACTGTCCGCAAGCCCGACTCACGCACAGAGCCAATGTTGTCTGCATCTTGCCATCCCGCAGCTCTCCTGCGCGCATCCGTGCATCTTAAAGCTATCTATCTGTCAAGCTAGCTATATGTCAAAGCTATCTATCTGTCACGCTAACCATATTTTAGAAAGCTATCTATGTGTCAAGCTATCTGTCATGGCCATGCGTCGAAGCAGCTAGCTCATGAAGTTCCAGTACTACGGAAGTTTCTTGTTAAACTTCCTTTGACCAACGAAACTCAGTGCTTATACACAGGTAGGGGCCATCCACGGCACCCCAACAACACATCCTGATATCTGGCATATAGGTATGCTCATTTCAGGCGCACATTCAATTTCAGCACAATCCAACCATTCAGGAAACCTACCACCCCGTAGACGCCTAGACCAACCCCCCAGCAGAAAATATGAAGCAACGCCATTCAGACCCTGTAAGCTCCACCTGATCTAAATCCCTCCTGGAAACCCTCCCCAAGTCTTTATTGGTTTCAACGACTCCATTGGCTGGGTGCAACCCTGGCTTAACAGACCTGTACCCCTTCACTCCAAAAACTGGGACCAAAACAGGCGGAGCTGTGTCTGCGTCGGCGTAAGCACCGGCCTGCGCTGCTAGCGGCACTGGCGCTGCGCTTCTGCTGCGGCGCGGAGGGCCAGGCCGTTGCGGGGCTGCCCGGCGGGGGGGGAGAAGGCGAGAGGCAAATACAAACAGCAAAGACGGCGCAAGGCGAATTGGCGACAAGTTGAGGCCAAGGGGTAGTCAGGCAAAAAGCAATCCGTCCCCAGTCTGAAATCAGTGCTGGACAGATTCCCATATGAATGTGTCTCACATTATATTTGTTGGTTTTCCCTTTTTTGAATAATTTTAACAAGGGCTTGCTTAATTTGGGAGACACGCGCCACGTTGAAATGTTGAAACATCACCCTGGCGCCATACATGTGGGTCTCCCTCCGATCGCGACGTCAAGCGCCAGGTTCCCGAGCTCAGTGAGCAGAAGCCAGAAGAGGAGGGAGCCGCAAGTGGGCGGCGGGTGGGTAGAGTTTTAGCTTGGGAATGCTCTTTGCGTTTTTGACCCGGTCTTCCCAAATAGACTTAGGGCATTGTGGGCTTGGAGGAGGGCTGCGTTGGCAAATGTCTGTTGTGATGGTAAGCCACGGGCAGCCAGACGTAGCTCGCCTTTTTGAATAACATTTGCTGCTTTGTTTCCTTCAATTTCTCTTTTAACTTGGAAGCCGGTAGCTTATTGGAGGAGGTCTTACTCTGGCCAAGGTTAAAAATGGCACAAGCAGCCCTGGGAGGTGCTGGGAGCAATAGTGAGTAAGGCCGGTTTCCATGTTTTGTCTTGAAACCTCGCAAAGTGCCCAAAGCCAGCCTACGTTGGCCATGATTCTAAGTCTGCGCTGCCCATGTCTCAGAACCAAGAGAGCCAAGAGTCAATGTTTTTTTGCTCCCCAAACGAGTCTTTCCCAACCATGTTGCAGGCCAGGGTTCACCTTTCCATCTTAGAAAGGGACCTAACCATTCTCCTTTCTAGACACCGTCACGTGGGTTGTGGGCCATGTTCTGAACGCACAAGTTTTTTGCACCATTTTCTGAAGCAAAGACAGGATTCCGGGTTCTTTCTCTTCCGGCCCCCCTTTTGCCGAACCAAAGACTTTACGGCTTTGCAGGACAACCCTCAGTGCTGGGTCACCCCCGCCGCGGTGGTCGAGATGGTGTGCGGCCGCCTCAGGTCGCGAAGCGGCCGGCTTCCCATATGCTGGGTGCTTTCCCTTTTCCAATCCAAAAATCAAAAAAATCCAAAAAGGGGGGGTTCGATTTTCCTGCGGACTCCAGTAGGTGTCCCTGGGTTCCCTACTTTGACTAGGATTTTTATCGGGAACGCCCAGTGGTTGGGTGACATGACTTCAAACAACACGGTTGATTATTGTGTTTGTATTTGCATTTTCTCAAATGCAAATTGGTTTGCACTTGAATTCCTAGCAAGACATAACTATTTTCTGTGGTTCACCGATTAGAATTCATTCAGTATGAGAACAGCAGCATCAAAGTGATGATATACTCTTGGTATGCATCATATGAGACATGATAATAAGTTTAATTCATATCGAAGCTTTGGATTCAGAACATACGAGCTTCTTGTGAGTGAGGTGATGGCGGGCATATAGGGAACCCCGTGAATCGCAAAAGACATGCACATACGACAACAAGCAAGTTGAAAAACAAGCAGGTTTTGGAACCAGTTTTTGCTTGGTGAAGCCGTACAAAAGCTGTGCAAATTCTAGGTTTCTGTTGGAACACCGGGTTTCTTTCGATCTGCGATGGTGCTTTGGAAAGAATCACATCGGTGGGAGTGCCTCTTGACCTTTAGTGACCTGTTGTGACCTTCCTAAGCTTGTTTGGAGGATTTCAGGGAGGAATTGCGCCACAGTTGCGCCCGCTTCACGAAATTAAGTATACCAACATGTGACAACTTTTTTTGCATTTCCGCACAGTTGTGAGAATAATTAATCATCACAAACGCGATGTTTGTATGTGTGTGTTCACTCCAACACAGACGCAGCATGACTGCAATTTGTCAGAGACATACATCTCAATCAACGGCATTTCGTGTAGAACTAAGGGCAACGTGATAATACACCTTAGGGGGCACCTATTGTATAAAGTTGCGAATCGAGTGTTGAGAGTCGAGACTCTTGAGGAGTTGAGTTGAGTTGAGCTGTGCGGAATCACATTTTGTTGGGTTGGCTCGGTCTGACATTGGCTTGACACATCGTTTTCTTTGGCAACAATGGATTCTTATATATATATATATTTATACACATACATAATTGTCTATTTTTCTTCTTTTAGAATGAACCGATACACACACACACACATTGTCTTGCTTAGGCGCCGAACAGCTGGTCGGTCATAGCACGAACAGCAGGGGTTAGTTATAATAGTCTACAATCGGTTTGAAGGTGCTTCATTCTTATGGTTATTGAGTGTTCTTTAGTTCAAATTCTGCGATTGTCCTGTTGGAGTCGCTCAACACCACCTTCTCGATACCTAGGCATTGGCTTCTTCGTGTTGCAGCGTGGGGTGTTATGTTAACTTCGCCCCCAAACATGTTGAAGGGAGTCTCTACCGCCTTTAAAGCTGGTGAACTAGCTTACAACGGAGATGACTGCTGGGAGGAATGCCATCTTCAATCAGCCTTCTGTTCTACTGGGGCTCCGGCACGAAAGGCATTGGCCCTGTGAGCTTCGCGCGCACTGGAACCCAGGTGGAATGGAGGGGGTTGTGTCAAGCAGTTGGTCGCTGGGTGAGAAGCCGCGTGATCCTGTGGAGACTTGCACGGACCTCTTTCCTGGCAATGCTCTTCGGGAACTCTCACGGTCTGAGCGCCCTTGGGGAGAGTTCGTAGCTACGTCCAGGATCGAGAGCGCCTTCCATGGCCGGCTGTGCTCGTTGAAGCAGGTGAAGGTGATTAAGTCCCAGGTCGAGTAAGCTTGATACTTCCATTTGGAGTTGGCAGAGCCCATAAGCAGTCCAGAGTTAAGCCAGCTTGTAAGGAAGTGTTCTAGACATCCTTTTGTTGGCTGTCCATGGATGCTTTTACTAAGCTTCTCTTCACGGTCCTCCAGCGCGAGCATCCAAGAGGCTCTAAGAAGCTCGCGTAGACGTTGCAGTGCGTAGGCGTTGAGGAGCTGCCCCTCACAAAACCGACCTTCACGTAGCTTGGAGTCTAGTTTGTTGTTCATCAATCAACGCAGGCCTCTCAATGTGCAAACCCTCGCAATCAGCAAGCCTCGGGCGCTCCTGCTAGCCACGTCAATCAAAAAGATGAAATAAGAAAACACAAGATGGAGATAGTCAAACAGAATAAGATGAACAAAAATATACATAAGCTAGAAATATGTGAGGTAGATTAAACACAGTGAGCTAATTCATCAATACAACCTAAAGTGAGATAAACAAGATTAGATAAGCCAGAAAAAGTGAATAACTCACCCTGGGAATTGTATGTCAGATTGAATCTAGGCTTTCTGTATATATATATATATATATTATACGTCTGGGTGAAAGGTAACGGCCTCACTCGACCTCACCCCAAATTGTGGTTTATGTGGGCCCCCGACCACATACGTACACATGTTATTTTGTTGAAAATGAGTTAATCTTCTTGTTTGTCTTGAATGAAATGCGTTGCTGGTTTTTTGCTTCGGCATATATGTTTGTACAATCGGGGGTTGGTCTATGGTTTTTAAGATGCAGAATGGTTGGGGGTTATTTCGTTGTTTTTTTTTGGGAAGGCACGGTTTCTGGGTGGGTTTGGAATGTAGTTGTGGGTTTGGAATGAAGGTTTGTTGGGAGGGGGCATTGATTGTGGTTTTCGCATCGCTAATGGACACAATTGGGTATTGTTGTTTGACTGTTGTTTTTTGACCTTTGTTAGTTGGCTGTTTTAAACGAATCTCTCAACAGATGTAACTACATATATATATATATATAAATATGGTCCCGTGTTCCGTGTTGCTACCCCCCCGCCCCCCCCAGATGGTATGGGTCCCCCAAAACCTCCACCCCCCCCCAACCCGAGACCCCGTTAAACCAATTCCAAACCCTGAACCAACCCTAAACCACCACAACCCAACCACAGGACCACAACCACGGAGGGGGGAGGTACTTGTCTGACCCGTGACCATTGGGGGTGGGTCGGGGGAGGCTGGCAACGCTGTACAATATATATGTATGTTATGTGTTTAGCTATGTTTTTTTTTTCTTCGACCTTGGAACCTTCTCACTACTCCCAATACCGACTTGTCCTGGGGTATGACGTCAACCCCTGAAGCAGGAGGTATTCACCTTGAGCAACCCGGTTTCCGGAGAATACCGATTAGGACAAAGCGTATTTGGTTGACAGTGTTCGAATTGGAAATGCGCTTTGCTCATATTTGTTTAGACAAGCATGGGCTTGTGCTTTTTTCACCGTGCCCTTATTCTGTCGGAAGCCAACAGGAAAGCCACCATCTTGCGGTTTCCCCATTTGTAAGACGGACCTAACTGTTTGTGGCAAGCGGTAGCCAAGCAACATATGCATTTGTTGCGGAGCTGCAAGCAGTGAGTCTAGGTGTGCCTTCCCCATGTTCAGGGATCCTTGTTTTCTCTACAAAGCAACGAAACCCAGACGAAACAGCCGGTTGACAGATTGGGCCACCACGTTCGATGAAAGTATTGATATTCAACATTCCCTACAATAAGGCGCATACCAGCTGGGCGACCGCGACCACGCCGCTCGTTTGCGGGATGCCTTGCTTGCGGCGGACCGCAGCCTCCTGTCCAGGCCGGGGAAGGAACCCATCGTGAAGAGTTTGTTCAACTGCTCCCAACAAAAAGGGGAGTCTCTGGGCATCTTGCCTCTGGCTCCTTGTTCCTTTTTTTTGGGTCTCTTTTGAAGCCCAGCTTTCCGCAGCAAGTCGCTCCTGTTTTGGTGGCTTTTGGTTTCTACGGCCAAAATGTGTTTTCGTCACAAGTGCACATCGTACCACAAAAAGCTGGGGGCCGGGCGAGTGGGAACCAACAAAAGGATGTGCTAAATGCAAACACTTGGCTTTTCGGAAGATCTCCCCCCTTCACAAAGCCAACAAAGGGAGCCGCGCAAAAGAACTTGGTTTCCCCCACCTCCCTTGTGAGCCAAGGGTTGGCAAGTCCCTTCAAGCACTTGGGTTTGTGTGGAGCCAAGCGGGCAGCTGAGCTTTCAGGAGTTTGGAGAAGCGCTTCCAGGGCACCGCGGAGGTGCCGAAGCAATGCCAAAATGCGAAGTCAGATTTGGAATCAAGGGGTGCGGAAAGGGTTGTTAGGCTTAAAATCCCATGGTTGATGATCCGTTTTCTTGGAGGGTAATTGATGCTCCAGATTGATGTGCAGCAAATCAAGAGGGTTGATTGGGAGCTGCTTGGATGTTCAAAGGGAAGCCCAAGAAGGAATCCAACTGGCCACGCCCCCCCCCCCCCCCTGTGTTTGGTTTGTTACACAATTGATCTCCCGCAACCATTTGGCTCAAGGCCCTTTCTGTATCATAGCAATACTCATGATTGCGTGACAAAGGAACCTTTGCAGGCCGCTTACAGGATTATCCACAATACAATCCACCATACCAGTTTTCTTCTGGGATAGGTACCCCGGCGGTGGGCCTCAATTTGTGGTAGCGGAGCGGGTTTTCCGCAGAGATCCAAGGGAAGATGTCATCCGATGGAGAAGGCTTCATGGAAGCCTATTCAAGTATGGCCAAATCACAAGGCTATACGGAGGAAACACTCAATTTATCGATGACCGCCAAGCAGCCGCCATCGTGCGACGGACAAGTCAGCTGGTTCAGGTATGAAGAACTCGTGGACGACTGGGTGACAATCACAACAGTGGAAGCACCCAAGAGAGGACCTCTGCTCAAAAGCAGACTCACAGGAGATGCATACATGTACAAGGCAGTCCTCCAAAATGACCTTCTGCAAGATCCTGACGAAGGAGTCAACTACTTCAAGAACACGCTGAAGAAGTACTTTTTGAAAGGTGCGACCAACGTGTGTCTGTACAGGCTCCTCAGTTTCTTCAATCATCGAAGGCAGAACCAAGAGTTCCTCATTTTTACCTCAAAATTCGAAATCCTTCTTATGAGATTGAAGGCAGCATGGATGGACTTGATGCCCGTTTTCACAGCACAGTCCCCATCATTT